GGCGATCAGCTATTAGACAGTGCACCACAACAGCACACCAGAGGCAAAGGTTGAGCGAAGGAGTTCACGGACAAGATTCAACCGAACAAGGTCGTCGAGCAGAAGTAACATGAGGATGAAGGAGGGGGTGACAGCGGCTTGGAGCAAGGAGGAAGATGATGACGAGGCGTTTCTTTCGCCAGCTCAGTTTTAAAAAAGAGGTCCAGGATTCTTTTTTAGAAACAGAGAAAATACCACAGTTTTGTAAATACTACAGTATTAAAATCGTAGTTTTTAGTGGCAACCTAACACCTCATAATAATTAAAACCAAGGTAATCTCAAATACTGCAGTATTATCAAAATACTTAAAAAAAACTGAGCTATCAAACGGGGCCTACACAACATTTCGCAACTTGGTGCACAATCTCCGCCCCCAGCTTTGGGCCGGCCCAATTACTCTTGTTTTTTCATTTTAAACCCCCCAAAAGATATGCGCAACCTGTGATTCGAAGCAGCCCGCTCACTAACCAAGTGGGTCACCTGACCTGATGTGCCAGGTTTTAGTTTTTTATTTTTAAAATGCAACGTTGAAAAAGCACAACTGTTTGGTTTTCTTTTTCTCTTTTCTTTCGTATTTTGTTTCCTTTTTCTTTTCTTAAATTCACATACTTTTACAAATGCATGAACTTTTCTCCAAATTCGATGATTTGTTTTTCAGATTGTGACTTTTTTTAAAATCGATGAACTTTTATTTTCATATTTTATGTTTTCTTTCAAAATTGATATACAAACTTGTTGCACACATGCTTCTTATGAGGGGCAATACACAGATCCTGAATGTATCTATAAAGCAAAGTGCCGAATGAGATCTCTACTTCTAATGGACGAGTTAGTGAATCGTCTGCGCGGTTTATTTTCGCTGGTTTTTTCCGTCTCTTCTCCCACCACCCCCTCACACCCTGGTTCATCGGTTTATTTTTCTCTCCACTCTTTATTACAACCAGAACTTTCCTAACGTATAACAAATCACGGATCTAACTTCTTTAAATTATGCAAATCAATCAATTCCTTTTATTGGTTTAATTTGTCTTAGGAAACAAATAACAGATTATCAGGAAACAAATAATACATTTTAATCTAACTTTCTTAAATTATGCAAATCAACCGATTCCTTTTATTGGTTCAAGTTGTCTTAGGAAACAAATGACAGATTTTCAGGAAACAAATAATATATTTATTTAACTTTTCTAACTTATCTAAATCAATCGATCTCTCTTATTAGTGAAATTTGTTTTAGGAAACAAATAACAGACACGTCATAACTTTCTTCCCAATAAATAGTTTCTTAACATTTGCAAACTTTCCTAATCAGACACGTCACAAACGGACAGGTACTGATATCACGTTACCAAACAATAAAACCCCATTTGCATAGAAATCAGTTCAAAAATCCTAAATTTCCTAATTTTTTACCTTTCCTTGATAACAACCAATCTCTACTTCTAATGGAGCAGTTGGTAGTCTTCGCCGGTCAATTTTCGTCCCACCTATCATGGTTTTTTTTCATCCCACCTTCGCTGGGTTTTTTTCTATTTTTTTCGTCCCCTCCCCACTTCATTGGTTTATATCAGGTAGCGAAAACCAACGACAACCACGTAGCGAAAAAAACTAGGTTGTCATCGATCTATTCGCGGATCCCTTCATCCCCAATTCTGCTCTGCCTAGGGTTACGAGAGAGACTCCTCCGCCACTGTGGGATCCCTCCGCAGCCGATTGTTGTGGCCATGGCGCCCCTCCCATCTCCTCGACGTGCTACACTACCGGAACGCTATGAGCTGCTCCGGGACCTTGTCTTCGCTCCCAAGGCGAGCACTTGCGCCACTTCCGCCGGCTTTGCTCCCCGTTGGAAGGTCACGCCGGTGATGGTGGTGGTTCACCGGCCAGATTTCGTCGGAGAGGAGGAGGTTGACCGGCCAGATCCTGATCCTCCTTGCACCACCGTCGTGCCGTTGCCCCAATGCTCCTCTCGATGCGCCTCCACCGCATCCCAGTAATTTCTAAATCCAATCTTCGTCTCGCTGTCTCATCTCACAGCATGCCGCCTCCCCTTTTCAAGATGGGGAGCCCGAGCGACCTCGAGCAACTGTCGCCGTCGCCGTCACGTATGGCTCGGCGAGCTCGTACAGCGTGTGCCCCGCCCTCCCTCCTCCGTGTGCCCCTGTCTACTCCTATGCCCCTATTAGCCACGAAGGTGATGCTTGTTTACAAGCAACATACTCTCGTCTATGGATTCTCAATCTCAGGTGAGCTTCCCTCGTTCCATTTGATACCCTGTATTCTTCCTGGTTTGGACAACATACAGTTTGATTTGTGCCCCTGTGATTTTTATGCATGAACTCGAGAACAGGAAATGAATCTTGGGGGATGCATTTACCTTCATGGAGATGATTCGAGGGTGCAATTTTCTGACCCGTTCTTTTCTTTAATGGTAGGGAATGCTCACCTTAGACTCTTTACGGTGGGTAGCTTGATGTTGTTGAGGTACCAAAGTCTGAATGTGAGTACTACTACTTTGTTGTGCGCTTACATGGTGAATTGAATGCATAATTTTTTTCTCCCGACTACTGTTTTGATTTCCGAATGATGGTTTTAAATGAACCAAATTGCCTCTGTAAGGTAGTTGATATTTATGTAGCTTTAAGATTTCTTTTCTTGTGCCTGATAATAGTAGTTGTTTGTGTAGCTTTAAGGTTTATTTTCTTTTGCTTGATGATGGCAGGGTTGAGTAGATTAGTGCCACACCCTGATATGGCCGGTCGTCCTTGTATTTTCAGGCTCTCGAATATTGTTGATCGAGTCAATGGATGTTTCCTGGTTGCTCTTATGGTGAGTATCAGGTGGTTCTCTTCGACGGTGATGTCGCCAACACAGCAGATGCAGCTTGCGGATCCCACGGCATGACTCAGATGCTGACGATGAACCGGACTACCTGTTGTAATTTGAACACCTAAAAAAGGTTCCTATACTCCTCCGTGTTGGTTAACATTGCTTCAGTTTCACTTTCGTTGAGTTATTTGTGTTATTTTCAAACAAGCTATTACCAAGTTATGTTGCATGTGTGCTGCTAAATTCATCTTTGTTAATTAGAATGATGCATATGGTAAATTTGCCATTGGTAGGATGTTTCGGCTGAAGTTGTGGCTGTAAAATTTATTTTTATTTTTATTTATAGTTTTCAACTACTCTTTTGGTATTCGAAATTTCACTTATGTGGTTTTTATAGATTAGCACTAAACACTTCCTTTTAGTTTTGTTTCTTTCTTCAACGAGCTCTTTTGTATTCTTCTCAATTTTGATGCAAAAACTAACATCCGGACAACAATTGATATCATCTACCATATAAGAAGTTCTGTGATTGAATCAAGTTGCGCAGGAAAATCACAATTTTCTGCTGACGTTCAGGTTCTTGGACCCGCTGCAACGCGTGTTCTACAACAACAATACCGGGCGCGAGGCACTGGTGAAGAAGTGCGCAGATGAGCACATGCAGCAGTGCAAGGTGCTCCGCGGTGGCCCCCGTGTCGTCGAGTACATCCATATACAACTTCTCCTTCTACAGAGTTCTCCTTTGCTTTCTTGCACATGTGCTCTGCCGGACTAACGCACATACACTAAGTAGCTCTTTTCTTCATTTGGGGTTTCCTTCGCAGGGTGATTCCCAGGGCTCTCAACCTGTCGAGGTACGCAATCTTGATGCTTTAGATTTCTATCTATGTAATCTACATCTTAGCATTGTGTACGTGTAGTATCTAAGAGTAAGAAATATATTGTCCGGTTCAGTCATGTGGTGTGTATTGGTGTTTGGAATTCAGTCATGTACTCATTCATACTGAAACTAAAGTCTGAAAGGCTGGTGGAGGACGTTGTGGAGAGTGTCGCTGAAGGTGGGTCTGTCCGGCTGTCACTACTGCTGGAGCTACAGCGCCGGTACACGAAGATCAACGGGAAGGTGGCCATCGCCGAGACCCGATTGAGCCTCATGCAGGAGGACATGTACATACTAACATAAACAAGATGATAGAGAAGTTCTCTGCTCTTCAGCTCAAAGTGAAGGAGGTGAATGCATTGTTCACCATGAAGCAGAATCAGTCCTCCAAAAGGTGACTAATTAATTTACATTGTCTTCTTTTTGTAGTTTATTCATGCCAAGTTCAACGGCCAGTCTGAACTTATTTATGAAAGCAGTTTCTGAACTCTGAGCTTGTGTAACTAACACTGAAGTGATCTGTTGTGGTAACTCCTTTTGAATCTCCCAGGCCTGCTAGGACAGCAAGGGCAAGTGCACGATGGTGCCCTGAAGCATCACGGTGAACATGGTAGTGTCAGGTTGTTGATGGAGCGATTCAAATTGGTAATCGATGTTATTGACAGTTAGTATTGTACATAAATTTTCTTTGTAAGAGGTACTGATGTTATGCAGACAGAGATTCCGCCCATTTGATACCTTAGGTTTGAAGGTCGAGTACCACGCCGCCGCCATTGCAACCGCTCTAGGATACCATTAATGGGATATCACTTAAACGCCCTCGTTGCTGGATCAAAGCGTTGCAGGTTTGGTAATTTTTTTCCTACCTTGATGATGTTTCTGTAAGTTGCGATCCAGAGGACACTTGGGATAGTAGCTAGGCTGGTGGTCACATTCATTAGATGGTGTCTTTCTATAGTTCATGGTGTCCTGTGTTTGTGAGTTCATATTTTCCGAGGAGTTGAATTGAGCAAACAAACCTACAGACTTATTTACCATCACCCTTCAGCTTTGTTAATTAAGGAGTTTAGCATGTACGTAAGTGCTATGTGCAAATGATACACCAGATGTGCAGACCTTTTAGTAAACCGTATATATTTTCTGTTCTTTTAACAACTTGTTCAAGTAATAACCGGTTTTGGCAATGTTGGGCAAGAGTACGCAGGCAGTCTTCGAGTGGCGGGATGAGGACACGTCTAGAATGGTGATGGCGCCATGGAGTGCAACAAGTATTCCCAAGGCAACATTTATATGCAGCATAGCCAGGATGTCTGGGGTAGCATTGGAAACAGCCACATAAAGGGCCTAAACAGTAAGCAAAAAATCTGCTTGCCAAACAAGCATACATAATCGTGTTCCATAGGAGTATTTCGATTAGCAATAGTTCCGTGCAATTAAGAAAATAGTAGCAACAATGGTAAAAAAAACTAAGAGAAAATATGTCTATGCAATTGAGATAATCATGTCAAATACTGAGAAAATCTGGTTGCACAATCAGGATATGATCATGTTAACAATATGTAGTGCTTATTTTGTTTTTATTTCTGAAAAACCTTGAAAAGAATAGAAAAGAAATGATTAGATGTTTCCACCCTAGTTCTATTTTAAAAGTTTCACTATTGCATCAGTAACATGGAATGAATAGGAAAGAGTACGAGCAAATTTGATTTACATAAACCGGCAAAAGAATCTTGAATTAGAGAAGTAAAAGATTTTCTGTTGTAGACTTATTTTTCCTTTTGCGAAGTTGCAACAATAACATGCACTTGTAGGCTACCAGTTGGGACAATCATGAAAAAGGCTAGGAAGGAGTAGGAACTAACTTTATTTAGAAAAAGGAAGGTTAGATTTTGCGATAGTAGCATGCAAGCATATTTTTCATAATAAGAATAATAGCATTTTTTAGAACAGTACTAATTCCAAATTTATTAACTTGCAGATCAAGTAGGTATGCTTTTAAAGTGGCAGTGGACTAAAGATGAGCACAGGGTTGTATACACCATGCTTAGAAAGGATGTCTCGGAGAGTGTTGAATGATGGAGTGACAAAGAGGTGTCGGCTTTAGCTCGTGTTCCTATTTAGACTATGCAACCCATCTAGGAAAGAAGGCAAGAAGGTGGTGTCGTTCAAGACATCAAGAGCAAGAAACCAAAGATTTATGGACGGAAGAGGATCACATTTAATTCTAATGATAGAACCGAAGATCTCTTACACAATAGATTTTGTGCCAGACAAACTACCGTCGAAAACCAAAGTATGATCTTGATAGCTTGAAACAAGTAGACTACTATCACATGACCTTGATTTGTGTTATAACAACGTGTATTTGTAAGTGTAAAACATATCCATATTATTTATCTCCCGTAGTAAGTGTTGTGCATATCATCTTTAAATTGCCACCTTTATTGTCTTTATCTGACGATGGCCTGTTGGTAAAGAATAGAAAGTGAGCTAAGTACTTCCATGGAAAAAACTACTACTTTAACCATTTCCATTCATGAGAAATGTCATTAGCAAACATACAGTTTATTGCACACTTATCTCTACTTTCAAAGTTAGTTTTAGTTCCAATTTTGAATTTGGTATCATGCACATTAAGATAAGCATGGTTGGTTTGATGTGAGGTCAGTTTTATTTCCAAGTTGGAATTTAGTACCATGAATATTAACGGCCAGCTTATATTGAAGACCACAACAAAGTTGGAGGTAGATCCGGTATAGAGTGATAAAAAGATTAAAAAAACTATATATCCTAGAGAGGTGAGGGTGAAAAATATACATCTTATGGGAGGTGGGAGCAAGGTGCAAGTTGCCTTTGGGATGAAAATTTCTATTCATATATTTCTTTTTCCGTGGCAACACATGAGCGTGGAGCTGTCATGCTAGAGCTTGGAATGAAGGTTTGGTCCAATATAGAACGAGGGGGTACTAGCACTAAGATGGGGAGGCGGTTGCCGCCCTTGTCCCTTCTTGTTGGCCTGCCACGACGACGTCGGGCTCAATTAGAACACGAATTAGTGGATTTTGTGATAAGAGTGAGGGTTGAGAATGACCGGAATAAGGGTGGAGTTGGTTTGTTTAGTTATGACTGTCTGAGTGGAATAATTTCTCTACCTTACAAAATGTGGCAAATTGCATTTCATTAGAGATGACTTTGTAGCAAATTGCATGAGCGAGCGGTTCATATTTTTTTTCATCAAGTTGTACAATTTTTTTATAAGGATGGAAGGGTAAATGCATTTGTTGGGCTCTTCAAGAGTTAATAATAGACTTTTATGTTTAGATAGAACGGTAAATGCATTGGCTGGTTGCTTCAAGAGTTATGGACACGGTGGCATATCAGTTGCATGCACAACAACACACATCATATTTTTGTTTCGTGGTAATGCATGATATTCAAATGTAGTTACAACGTGGCAATGACTCAAGAGACATCAGATCCACCTTCTTGGCTCAGGGAAGGGGGCGTCATGGGCGGTGCATGCCTCCTCTCCCTTGATGGCGGTGGTGGATCCGCACGAATAGGGAGGGAGGGGATCAGGGTGGAGAGCGGGGCGATTGGCGGGGGATTCCTCCTTGGCGGTCCGTGGGGAAGTATGGTGTGATGGAGAGAGGGTGCCATGACAATGGTAATATGGGCGTCATCTAGTTTTAAAGGAGAGGACTTCAGCGCGAAATGCCCTGTTATGGCGGGAAACCGAGCAGAAAGGGGAGGGGTCGGCAGGAAAAGGGAAGGGTGTGTCGCGGGGTGGTTTTTTGTGTGTTGGGACCGCGTGTTGGAGATAACATGACAAATAGACCGGGAAACCACATTTCTCCCCCACATGAGCTGGATTTGAGATAGCTCGGACAATCTAGACGGTTGAATTTTGGGGAGCCCACCGGGCGCCCATTTGATGTTAAAACCTGCCCAAACATATGAGGGAGAAATGAGTTTCAACCATGAAGACGACCTTAATCATTTGTTTGAGTCATTTATATGTATTGTAGCTCGTATCAACACACGTACATTCTACTATACTATTTAATCATGGATCGTATATATCAAGTTATAAGTTCTTGGGTGGCGAGCGATTTGACATGTCAAGAAGACAGGAAGATTGCCGAGAAGGAAAAATGTGAAAGAATATGATACATGCTTAACGTGTATATCTAAATTAAAAGAATAATTTGATCTATGTGTCCATATTTTTATTATTCCCTGTCAAAACATAGGTATCCGGTTTTTGCTCGTAGCAACGCACGGACATTCTACTAATGATTGATAGTGCTCTTCATGTATGGCCTTCCTGCATACCCACTATATGGACCATAGCGTGACTGTCGGTGTCAAAACCGGCGGATCTCGGGTAGGGGGTCCCAAACTGTGCGTCTAAGGCAGATGGTAACAGGAGGCAGGGGACACGATGTTTTACCCAGGTTCGGGCCCTCTTGATGGAGGTAAAACCCTACGTCCTGCTCGATTTATTCTTGATGATATGGGTATTACAAGAGTTGATCTACCACGAGATCGGAAAGGCTAAACCCTAGAAGCTAGCCTATGGTATAATTATCTGTCTATCTATCGACTAGCCTGGCCTCGGTTTATATAATGCACCAGAGGCCTAGGATAACAAGAGTCCTAGCCGAATACGCCGGTGGGGAGGAGTCCTTGTCTTGATCACCAAGTCTTGTAGAATATTCCATGTATGCGGCAGCTGTCCGAACTGGCCCATGAGTATACGGCCATGGGGGTCCTCGGCCCAATCTAACAGATCGGGAGATGACGTGGTGAGTACCCCCTAGTCCAGGACACCGTCAGTAGCCCCCTGAACCGGTCTTCAAGTTAGAGACGCTCCTTGATTCTTCCGAACTATTCTTCATCTTCGGTTGTCGGTCTTGGAAACTGGTTCAACAAATCTTCCCATCTTCGATCTTGAGGATCGCCGAAATGCATTCGACGAGTTTACACGTCGGGTATCCGAGGAGCCCCTTTAAGTTTCCGGCCTTTATCAATGCCTTGATATTTTTATGCCACACCTCGGGTTTGAAGTTGTTTCCGGGAGGCAGTGTCCTCTTGCGTCCGAGCTCCAACGCCGGACTGCATTCGAGGTATCTTTTGCAACCGAACACCCATGTCGGACTGCTTCCGAGCTCCAACGCCGGACTGTGTCCAAGCTCCAACGCCGGACTATATCCAAGATGTCATAGATCATCTTGGTCCAAAAAAGTTGAAGGAGCTTAGCCGAGCTTAATGCCAGAAATGCCATCTATGGAGCCAGCCACTAGCGCCCGAGCTTTATGCCGGAGTGCTTCCGAGGTGGTGCACCACCCCGACTGTGGGCCGATTTTTTGTCAATATTTTTTATTGGTGCAATTTATTCTCTGCCGAGATATATAACCAGTAGCCCTCAAGGTGTGTATCGGTTTAAAACCCGAGATGCACCTGAAGGATGACGTAAGACCGCTAATCCCAGTAGCCGCTGAGACTCGGGTTGATTTGTAAAATCGGCCTGAGGATCAAGTCCTAGCTCGGCAGGATACTTCGAGACACAAAAAGCGGCGTGCTCAGTCCTCGAGACTCAGGTTGGGTGCGGCCGACCAACCCGAGGATCAAAATCTCCTCGGAAACTGTATTGCACTTAAAATTTCCTGCATTGGATAGGCAATGCAGTAGCCCCCGAGACACTGGTCGGGTGGCAACACCAGATCAGGGGATCGATGTGCCTCTTTAATATTTATAAATAATAAGCCCGAAGCCCAGTAGCCCCCGAGCCTTAATGCGGGCACGGGTGGCCGAATTAAGGATCAATATCCATAGTAAAATCACAAATTATGTGTAATGACTCTATGTATCCAAGTACTTTACGTCATTAATGCTCGGATCCGCATTGTACAAAACTTTGTTGATCGACCATCAGCTTCCACCTCCTCGGGCAGTAGCCGAGGAGTGTTTGTCCTACTTTATAAAGCCTTTATGAGGGCAAAGATTTACGACAAACAAGGCAATCTGACCATACGGTTTTATAAAGAAAGGTACGCAGAGAGATATGTTATATTACTGTTTAACATAAGAAATGTCTTCCAAAAAAATAGTCCCGCTATCAGTTCCTTTCTTTGGGTTGTCATGTTAAGCATGATCATGAAACCTCAGCTCTAATGTAAGAGCAAAATATCGAGGATTTAGTTTGGGAGGCCAGTTAATAGCCCCCGGTAGTGTTCGGCGACAGTCGAGGTCAAGCCGTAAATACTTCGGCCATTGTTATGAGTGGCCCGTCATTTTAACACAGTCATCGGATCGCTGACCAGTTTATGCTTATTATGACAGTCAGTTTTCGGCTTCCTCCACTAAGATGTTTAACCGTGTGAGCTGGAAGCATAATCGCAGTGGTTCTCCCTTTGGATGCCTAGCCGAACAAAGTGGAACATAGGAAGCAAGTGCAGGAGCCGGACAACCCAACTATTGACCAAAGACACAATTCGAAACCGATGCATATATAGCAATATCCGAGAATATTTTTGCCGAATCTATAAAGGTGTCCGGCATTGCACTGCGAGACTTGTGCTGAAAACACACAAATAGTTTAAAAGTGCCATGAGCTTGGAAAACCAAAAAACGTCAGTAAAAATTTGACGTCCGAACAAGATCAAGTGTTCGGTGCCAATCCAAAAATTGGTCTTAGAAAAAAAGAGTGCTTCTGTCGTGCTTTAACATTACACATCCGATCTCAAGACTTCAAGCGGGTCAGCCTACGGCTGCAGCCTCCTATCCTGAAGGCGGAGTGCTTCTCATTGGACCAGTTCGGTCACTAGAGAGAAAATGGGTTATCTGGCTATTGACCACACACTCACGTCGAAAAAGGAGCGATAGAAAAAGACTTTGCAACGACCAAGAAGAAAACACATTTACTATAAAATAGCTCATATAAATTTTAAGAGCCCCCAAGTGACTTGGATAAAAGGTTTTATGTATAATGATTATATGTACCGAAGTACTTATATCATATCTTTGTTCAACCGAACTTTAAAAGCGTCTTAACCGACCGTCGGCTTCTTCCTATTCGGTCAAGGACCGAAAAGTGTTATGTACTCCACCTGTCGAGAATATGGACAGTGTTTCCGATGACCAGGCAACCGGGCCATAAGGCTGTAACAGACAAAGCGCGCTCAGGGAACTTATGCTATATTACAAACGAAGTGTAAGAAGCATCTTCGAAGAAAATAGTACCCCCACCAATACCTTTCTTCGGTGCTCATTATTATTATGAGACTTGTGCAATAGATTTTTTGTACTCATGAGTTCCGTTGTGTGCCGACCATGATTGAAAACAATAAGAGCGCTAGCTTTCGGCTTCACCCAGTCTGAGGTCAGAGCTCGGAGGACCCGGTCGTGACAATCGCAGAGGTGCTCCCTTTACTCCCTAGTCGAACAATCGGGAACGTAGGGGTAAGCACAGGAGCCAGGCAACCCAGCTTGCAAATCGCTTAAGTCAATATGGTGCATATTGTGTAATACACGAACAAGGAACGAAGCCATACAAGTATAATCATATGCAAGAGGAAAAGCTCTATCAAGGGAGCCCCCAAGTAAACGGGGTATTTGAATTTGTGTGTCACAAACAAAGTTTGGACAAGAAAATTCTTTACAAGCAACTTTTTTTCAAAAAAGTATAATGCTTGGTCGAACCGAACACAAGTTAAAAATTAAAACTTTGAGCATGAAAGCGACTTAGCTGGTTAATGTGTTCGGCATTGATGACGCGGTCCGAGCTTGATGCGGGACAAGGTTTCATCCCCCAAGCCGGTCCCGAGGTGGCGGAGCGGAGAGCTTGACACGCCGAAGTGGTGACATGGAAAGGTCAATGTAGACCGGCAGAGTGATGCCGAAGTCCCGGGATCATTTTCCTGTGCATAAAAAATAGTGCAAACCGGAGATAATAGTAATAATGATAATAAAAAAATTGTTGCATAATAAATAAATTTATGCAAAGTGAGTAAATAAAATAAATATGGCCTGGTGCCGAAGTCAATATCGATGCAGGGCGTCGGCATGATGCAGTAAAGGCGTGGCAAAGCCTGAATTCACAGGTCGGTCCGAGTTCCGGATGCGGCGTTCGCCAGACTATGTACGGAAACTGACCGAACCACCATGCGACCGTCGTTAATGCGGCCATCATTTGATAGACCTGTGCACAGATGATGGACAAACCAGAGTAATAATTCCTTGGGAAAAATAAACCCAAACAAGCAAAAAAATACTAGGATTAATAGCACCTGGTTTATTTGTTGTAGCAATCCGAAGAAAGGTGATTCCCAAAATTGGGACTCGATCCGCGCACCCATTGCCTGATGGGTGATAAAGCGATGGCACAGCGATGCTGGCAAAGGTTGGCTCGCCGAGGCAAAGCCCTCGGTCCAGGTAACGTGACGGAGCTGGTTGGCTAGTGACGCCGAAGTCTCCGGAGTATAGGTTGATGAAGATATGGCGAAGCCCTCGGTCCAGCCGAGATGTCGAAGCCTCGATGTCAGTCGATGAGTCGAAGTAGGTCGGCGTGATGGACACCGGCTTGAAGAAGCAACAGTGCGGCCCTGCCGATGCATGTCGTGACGTGGTCGATGCCGGCTTGATGAAGTGACCGTGCGGCGATGCCGGTATGCCCGCTCCGTGTAATCCGTGGGGCGGCGATGTTGGTGATGATTTATCCCTCGCGATGCCGGACTTTTGTTCGGCTTGCCGAGATGATGATCCGAAGAAGTTGAGATCGGCTCAACAAAGTGACGACGCATCTAGCGCAGGTCGACAGCCGTGGAGCAATATTACCGAACTGGTTTGACACCAGCATGATGTTGAAGATTATGTTCAAAAGATTATAAAGTTAGTGGGATGTGTTCGGAAACAAAACACAACACCCCATACAAAACTTCCTTCAAAAAGGATGTCCGAAATCCCGTTCATAAAAAAGATGAACTCGGGTCGGATTCGTTTTCGCGCAGAAAACAGATCCAAAAAGTGATGCACTAATCGGAAGGTTCCCGGAGTTTGGACGGTCGGATCGAGCTGAAATTTGGAGGGGTGGTAGATATGGGAATTCTGCAGTAGATGAACGGTTGGATCTTCCAAAGGACCTCCGAGCTAGGCTCTGGAGACCACGCCCTAAACTCGTCCAAATCCCCATCCAGATTTGACAAGGCTCCGGTATATCGTAGATTGTCGGAGATTCCTCTATCGGAACTCAACGAAATTTTCCAGGGTTGTTGTAGACTCAATTCCACACAATTACACCGAAGCAATCATTAAAGAGACACTTGAGGAGGCGGTGGCGGCGGACACAAGTTTGTTGTCCAGAAAAACAGCACGGTCGCCCGAGGGCAATGTTGACGTTGAGCCCCCGGGCTCCCTGGATGATTCCTCCATGATCTTGATAGAGATCGGAGTTGATGTTTATAAAGGCCCTCATCCGAACATGACGATCGGAGGTAGGGCGCAGTCCTTGGTCGAACCAAGGTGACCAGTCAAGCTGGTGACGAAGATGTCGAAGTCGCAGTTGATCTGCAGGCGAGCCATCAACCTTTTGCCGAACACACAGCGGAACTCTTAATGAAAGCACCAATGTCGGTGTCAAAATCGGCGGATCTCGGGTAGGGGGTCCCGAACTGTGCGTATAAGGCGGATGGTAACAGGAGGCAGGGGACACGATGTTTTACCCAGGTTCGGGCCCTCTTGATGGAGGTAAAACCCTATGTCCTGCTCGATTTATTCTTGATGATATGGGTATTACAAGAGTTGATCTACCACGAGATCGGAAAGGCTAAACCCTAGAAGCTAGCCTATGGTATGATTGTCTATCTATCTATCTACTAGCCTGGCCTCGGTTTATATAATGCACCAGAGGCCTAGGATAACAAGAGTCCTAGCCGAATACGCCGGTGGGGAGGAGTCCTTGTCTTGATCACCAAGTCTTGTAGAATCTTCCATGTATGCGGCAGCTGTCCGAACTAGCCCATGAGTATATGGCCATGGGGGTCCTCGGCCCAATCTAACAGATCGGGAGATGACGTGGTGAGTATCCCTAGTTCAGGACACTGTTAGTGACCACAACCTTGATGAATTGTTCTTCATTCGCTGTACTCCACTAGCCATGGTTGAATATCTTCTGTTCTTTGTTTTTTAGATAGCTCATCACTCATAGCCGAGCATCTCCAGGATATTGTTTGAGGGGTGAATCAAGTTTTATTCATCAAACACCACAAAATTGGGATACAATTTTAGTCATGGGATTGGCCAAGCCAGATGTGACGTTTCAGACCTAACGAAAGTGAAAACTTGACTAAATTATGTGCTTCAACATTGACATCACGACCTTTAAAATTAAAAATATAGTTAAAAGACAATGTGTGTAGCTTAATCTCGCTAATATTGCTCCATTGTTTCCTCGCCCACCTTTCTGGATATCCCCAGTCACCTGTTTAGCGTCAGAAGCAATGGCCAAACGATGGAGGTGAAGATCTTTAGCTAGCGCTAATGCCTCACTGCACGCAATGAACTCTAATATCGATGGGCCGTCCACTCATCCAATGACAAGAGCGCTATTTCCTAGGAACGTTCCATCTATATCTCTACACACCGCTGCTGCCGTTTCTCCCACTCCTTTTCGG